AGAACGAAATTTTGTAATAAATCATAGACAAATCATAGAAGAAAATAAAAAACAATATATTCCAACAAACGCGATATCGCATAATAAAACAACTCGCATAACTTAATCGTAAATTCGCACAGTTAAGTTTGAAAGAAGATAATGGATCTAAGAAAAAAGGGGGAAAGATGGAATGGGGAAACGTGGAAGGTGGAACGCAGAAGGGTAAGATGAATTATTATTAGGATTAAACAGGTTGGTCGCCGCGCGCCTTCTACCAAACATTTTCTTCCCTTTTTCTTTTTCTTTCTTTCTCTCTTTCTTTCATCTCCAATAATTTTACCTTTAGATTCGCCGATATACCTAAGTACTTACGAGGAAGGAGAACACCAGTTGTTGAGCGAGATCCGGGGTGCCTTTCGAATTTATTTTCTTCCTTTTCCTTTGGCCAAGGAATACCAAGGGAAAAAAATCTAATTGGCTGGACCGAAATCTATCTCGCGAGGGAGGAGGGTTAAAAGAATTTTAAGAATAAGAATAACAAGAAGATAGTTACGAGGGTGCGAGAACTGAAAAGAACGGAACGAAAACCATAAGAAAAAAGACAGAGAGAAAAAAAAAAAACTAACGAAACAACAGGAATGAACACCAAAGATTCTGAACGGAACGGAACGGTAAAAAAAAAAAAACAGGAATAACCTAAAAAACTACGTGCGCGAGCGAGACGACGAGATGGGGGTAATAATAATAATTAGGGCGACAAACGGCTGGCTGGGGCTAAGGGTGAGCCTGAGAAAGGGGGATGGGGAAGGAGGGGAGGAGGAGGAGGAGGAGGAGGAGGATGAACGAAAACAAAAGCAAAAAAAAAAGGAATAAAACGAAACGATAGCGTCGAGATCTGCGCTGGTGGTTATGGTGGTGGTGGTGGTGGTGGTGGTAGTTGTATATACGCCATAAAACTCATCCACAAAATGGCGCTACGAACCGAAGGTACGAAATTTCTCATCGGTTTTAGTTTTTAATCGATATTCGATATCGATCGTAATCACTTTCGATATCGATCTTTAAATTGCATATTAAATTTCTATCTCGAACGTTCTTTCAGTCAGGGGAAGGGGGTGAAAATGGTCGTGGGGGGTGGATTGAGATGGGGGACGTGATCGTGGGAGGGGGGGGGGTGTGAAGGGTGAAACGGAATTGTAAGGGTAATTAAATAAAGCTTCTCTAATACGAGCGAGCTGAATTATTTTCTAACACAAATTACACATCTATCATATATCTAATAATAATTATGATATATATATATAAATTTGTGTGTGTGTGTGTAGTTGGGTTGTTTATAATGGTGTAAAGAAATAATACGAACATAACCACGAACGGTACAAACATAAATCTGAACGAGTTTCGTTATCATTGTATCTTCAAACGAGTTAAGCCCAAGAGGGTTGACCCTTTTTTCCCCCGTTTGGGATATTCTTCCTTCTTCTATACTACTATAAGAAAGAGAAAGAAGGAAAAGGAGGCGGAGGAGGAAGAGGGTCCAGCATTGTTCGCGGACAATGTAAGCATGTACGGAACCAAGAGTGGTAATCGAGCCGTGTAACATTTATAACGTAATGGGAGGGCCTCACCGAAGGCCCATAATAATATCAATTACATGGCCAAAGGATAGAAAAAGATAAAAGATCCGAGACACTGAGATAGAAAGAAAGAAAGAAAGAATGAGATAGAAGATGTTCTATCGCAAAGCGCATTCGCGAATCTGTTGGGAAGAAAATTGACGATGCACCCCGTCCATTCAGTTTTTGTAAGCCAACCAGCTGTTTTTTGTATTTTGGGTTTTTTTTTTTCTTTTTCTACAGATACCTAACACCCTTAAATCTGTAACTTTGAAAATTTTTTCTTTTTTTTTATCGTCAGATGATAAATACTAATGATGAGATTTAACCGAGATATAAGCGTACGAGGTCGTTGCGTTACGTCATGCTCCGAATGCACTCGTCACAACCGACCTATCTTACACCTAAACTCACTATAATACTACTATGTCGTACACGCGATCGTAGTAGCGTTAACTATCCTCGCATGTTGCATAGAAATATATATATAAATAATATATTGTTGGTGTAGGTATATACTAGTGGTTCCAATGTATATGGGATGATACCCCGGTCCGCCATGACTGTTTATGCTGAACATTTCAAATGACAGACTTAACCTAAAAAACATTACTATTACAATAATTCTTATTTCATGTAATAACAATTTTAAAAATCTAATTAATTATCATTTAATCGAGAGATGCATTATTCTAATTTCTAAAATACTATAATTCAAATTTCAAATATTAACACACAAACAAACCAATATTACGAGTTAATAAGAAAATTTATAAATTGCAATATAAACAAAGAAAAAAAAAAGAAAATATCGAAAAGATAAAGAAAAAAAAGAGCGAGGTAAAAATTTATCGAACAATAAAAAAAAGGAAAACAAAAAGAAAACGTAAGAAAAATAAAAATCAAAACATACATCCGATTCAATTTTTAAGTTCTTTTCTGTTTTTTCTTTCCTTTTTTAAAATCAACTTCTACTTCTACATCTTACTTTTTCTTCTTCTTCTTCTTCTTCTTCTTCTTCGGAGAGTTTTGTTTAATGGCGAAGGCGGTAACCGCGCTCAAAGCAGTCAACCAATGAGGGGCCTGCTGGAAATCATACGCGGGATCGGTGGCCGCACGTCGGCCTCCGAGAGTGGAGGTGAAGTTAGCTTAGGCGAGGTTACGCCGCTCCTCCTCACCAACACGAGCACTACCACTGTTGCAACCCTCCCTTCACCTCCCTTCTACCCTCCCCGACCCCCCCGAATCACCTCACTTCTCCTCACCTCACCTCACCTCACCTTTGGTGCGTCCCTCAGCGACTCCTTAACATTCGACGGGCCTGTCCCGACGCTGCATCGTTCTCATAGAGGTGGGGCTCCCTCTCTTCGATCGACGTTAGGCATTTCTTCCCCCCCCCCCTCTCCCTCTTTCACACACTCTCCCTCTCCCTCTCCTTCTATTTCTCTCTTTCTTTCTCTTTATGTTAAACTTTTACATATAGACATATTTGTATATTTGTTATTTTATTTGAAATGAAACAAGTTTTCGGTACTGTCAAATATTTCGGTTCAATATTAAAAAAATTCTCCCTCTCCCTCTCTCTTTCTCTTTATGTTAAACTTTTATATATACACATATTTGTATATTTGTTATTTTATTTGAAATGAAACAATTTTTCGGTACTGTCAAATATCATATTTCGGTTCAATGCTAAACAATTCGAGATCTTATAGTATTTTTATCTAATACATATACATATAAGTATTGCACACATATACGTTACTAGTTTTAGGATTAATTGATTTTATTTGTTGATATATTTTTGGTCTCTTTTTCTGTCTTCAATTTTTAGGTACACATGTATTTCAAATATTTCGGCTAAATGGTACAAATTCTAGACTATCTTTAATACACATACATATTAGTACATACACATTATTAATTTAGGATTAATTTATTTGATTTGTTTATAATATAAAAATTGATTATGATAAAACATTGATTCTATATCTACGTGAACTTTTCGGTTAATGAATCAATCGTGTAAGATAATCAATGTAATAAATGAAATATTTATCAATAGAATTATAGATGAAAATGATATCTAACATCTGTAGTTCGATAAACAACCATGTTTAAATCCCCCTATCAATAATCATACTCATATTCTACCATTGAAATGATAGAAATTATCAAATAACAGTACTTCCCATAATTTCCATTAAACCAAAGATACAACCGACGCGTTACCAACACCGCTATCAATCCTAACCTCACTTTTTAAAAAAACATATCAAATTCCATTTACTTTCACGATATAATTTAGATCTCCAATTCAACTTACATTAGTTCAAGTATTTAGACCAAACACGCCCCGAATTAGAAAATTGAATCATTTTTAAAATAGAAAAATCGATTTAAACATTTAACGATCATTCTTTTCATTCTCGGTCAATATCCCACGGTATGCTTTCTATAATAATAATAATAATAATAATAATACTTTCATTACACAGAAATATTAACGCAACAACAACAACAACAACAAAAGAAAGAAAGAATAAAGAAGATAATTACTTAGAAACGAACAAAAAAATATCATATATATATATATAAAAAAAAAAATGATCGTAATAGTGTTAACTCGAAAGCGACGGAATGGAGTTATAATCACCTTTCCATTATAATTACACCCAAGTTTTTCTTTCTATCAAGATAATTGGCTTATCGTGTATTAAAACCCACCCTATACCCCACCCTCCATTACAATCCAGCATCCCAGTTAATAAACGTCGGTTTAATTATTGTCTTCGTTAACGTTCAAATAAGTACTCACTTACTCATACAATACAATCCTACTTGTTTTTAAGTCACTAACTTATTAGATATCGGTTAATATAACTTAATCAATATTTATATATTAATCATATAAATTACTAACTCATACAGTATTAATCTTTTACATTTGAGTTGTTATTAACAAAATGAGACATGTATTAATTTATTAACATGTACAATAATATTTGAGCTTAAACAGTATAATAACTGTATCATAATTATTATTAAGTTACTAAATACTAATTGATACAGTACTAACTATCTAGTAATAAATTACTATATTACATATAAACTTATTATTAATTAACAAATGAATAAATAAATACAATATTAAATGACTTCAATCAAATAGTTCAAATATTAAAGTCTGATATTGTGCGATGGAAGAATTTAGTGATATTATTTTCTTCGAGTTAGGAAGAAAATTATGGGGTTGTTATAAGGTACGACGTGGGAAGTTGGAATGGCGATGGTTGAAATCCAAGAAATTGTTGGGACCCATCGATGTTTCCAAAGGTCCCTTCCATTATTATTATTAACTTTTAAGAATTTTCGAAGACGATTTTTTTTCAATCCACATTATATGTATGTGTGTGTGTTTTTTTTTTAAATGTATTCGCGTACATATAAATGGATAGAAATGTATAAAATGAGTGAGTTGAAAAGCGTTCGTTTGAAAGAAAGTGAAGAATTGACAATTAGTCGAAGAATTCGTGCAGCTTTGTCGATTCTCTCCCTTGGGAGAGAGAGAGAGAGAAAGAGAGAGAGAAAGAGAGAGAGAGCAATTTTCGAATCGCGTGCCTCATCACCTGCTGGACTCTCGTTTCTCTACAAACAACACACCAATGTTGTCCTACATAATTTTTCTTCGAACTTGTCCGTGTTATTTTATTTTTTTTTCTTCCTTCTTCTTCTTTTTGCAAAACGTACCCTCCTTTCACTGTAAAAAAAGAAAAGAAATTATTTTATATAATAATTTTTGTTCGCAAATTCGACCCCTCGAATTAATTCGATATCATGCAAAACTTCATTTTATTTTGTTAATCATATTTCATTGATTTATTTTTCATATTATTTGTTTATCTGTATCAAATTCAAAACGATTATTTAAGATCATTTAATAAATATTATTATTATTGTTATATTAATTTTAAGTTTTTTGTTTTAATTTGTTAACAGAAGTCTCGTTTAGTTGTTCAACGAATTATATACAATATATTTTTTTTAGGTACGAGTATAATTGTTTATTAGATAATTAATAAATATATGATATATATTATTGTTTGTAAAATAAATATATAAATAAATAAATAAATAAAAGTTCTTTTCTCACGAGATGATCGAAGGGAGAAGAGTTTGCAGCATCGCAATCACGTTTTCGCGTCCTTTCATGTTGCAGGTGCACCGTTGCTTGCAAGAAGAGGAGGAGAAGGAAAAAGAGGAGGAAGAGGAGGAGGAGGAGGAGGAAGAAGTAAAAGGAAAAATAAAAAGGAAAGACAGGATGGAGAATCTTGGTTTAATCGTAAATGGTGCGGAGTGAAAGCCGACCGGACATTAAAATTTTCTCGATTGACGTACGAACGATAAAATTACCGATTTGTAAATCCGACCGAACAAAACAAAAAAAATATCTATTTAATAATACTCGCAAAGAAAACCAAAAAAAGAAAACAGTATCTCTCGTTAAATAAATAAATAAATTGATAAGATACTTTTGTTGAAATTTTTTTCCTATAAAAAATCCGATCACACATTCGTAAAATTGATTCTTAATTTCATATTTTTGGTTTGTCATTCGAAATTATCACAATATTGGTGGTTAGTTTTTTTTTTTTTTTACATATTATTATTATTACATTAATAATAATTATTAAATACAATGGTCGATCAATTGTTTTTCATTTAATTCATTCGATATTTTATAATTCCCTATGGGATTTTTCGAATTTTTATTCGATTTAAAATGTAAATAATTTTTGTCATTTATATGAATAGAAAAATAAGAGAAAGGATTACTTTTACTTGTTTTTTTTGTTTTTTATTTAACATTCTCTCCTATTCTTTTAATTATAATCATAAATTAATTATCGATAATAAATTATTCAATGTTTAAATTTATTACACAGATGATAACGATCGATTACTAATTTAAAGTATAGACTCGAACAAATTAGGCTAATGATCCTCCTACCTATTGATATTGATTATGATAAATAATACGATAGAGGAAAAAAAAAAAAAAAGAAGAATAAAATAAAAAAAAAAAAAAAAAAAGAAGAATAAAATAAAAATTGCAAAATAACGAAAGAAAGAAGAAGAAGAAAAAAAAAAAGAAAAAAAAAAAATAAGAACGTATTGTTATAAAGTTAGAATATTGCGTAATGCAAAATTCTCATCTCTTACTTGGATCATTATCGATCATTATTAGATATCAATGAGATATCATGTAATATTACAAACAAATTATATTTCTCCGTTTATTTCCATGGAAAATCGGCCAATTATTAACAACCGCATATTTCGTGCCTATCACTAAGGATTTTAAATATGTTTTAGGTATGTGTACATAGGTGTCTACGTCATTTTTCTATGTATCTATTTATCCTTTTTTTTTTTTTTTTCATCTTATTCTTCATATTTCTTTTATCCATTCTTTATTTCTATTTCTTTTTCCTACCTTCGTCTTAATCTTCCAATCGTTTTGTTTCTTTTTTTTTTTTTTTATTATTTCATATACGAGACAACAATAAACGGCGCAACTTGTGGATCTCGAAGATGGTAGAAGATCCAACGATCGATGGATGGATGGATGGATGAGCTTTGTGAATTGTACGAGACAAGAATAAGACGGAATAATAATCGATATCATCGCAATCTATAGTAATTACAGATAGTTGATGCCCATTACGATTTACGATTTCTCGAAACTCGCAGATGGGAAACGCAGGACAGTCTTGCACCCATCATCATCTTCCACAGCTACGTCTAGAAAAAGAAGACAACAAAAAATATTAAAAACGAAGAAGAAGAGGAAGAAAAAGTAAGGATAAAAGAAAAAAGGAAAAATACTTAAAAAGGAAGGAAAAAAAAAATATATGTATATATATAGTTATGATTTTTCAACAGAGATAATTCGATTGTTATTCGCACCGTGTTGCAGTTCTACGTTGCTCGTTTAATTGTTAATTAACGTATTAGATATTTTTTTTCTTTTTTGCGGTCATGTGTAGGTCGTAATCAAATAAATTTCTAATAATAGAATTAAAAGAAAATTGATAAAATAAATAACGAGATGAAAATGTTATTATGTTATAAGTACTGTCGTATAAAATAATATATGTGTAATTTGATTTATATTGTGGTATTAATTAATAAATAAAATATAAAAACTAGTTATACTCCTTCTTTCTTATTTTTTTTTTTACAATCTTTTACAAAATAATTGAACTTCTACCACCAC